TAAGGGCTCCTACAAGTGACTTGCTGTGCAGACAAGTTTCCTTCCTGACAGTGCTTTTTGAAAATCTCCATGTTACTCAGTTCCTCTTTTGCAGTGGCTGGCTTTAGGCTAAGTTTRTCTTTTTATAAATGGCTAAAAGAAAAATAGAATCTATAGAAATTGAAAGCTCAGCAGAAGAGCACTGGAGGTTTTGCTGGTTGAGTTTTGGGTTTGAGATGCCGGCACTTCCCTTGCAACAGGAACCGCATCCTCATTCTGTAGTTCAAGCATCTACAGTGGCCCTGGCTACTGAAATCACTGAAGCCAGCTAGAAYTGGTCACTGCAGTGACCAGCGTGTCTGCAGCACACAGGCCTTGCTGTTTGTACAGCCTGGTGTTGTACAGCCATTCCTGGAGACACAGCTCCCTCAGGTGGTGCCTTCAACAGCTGTAAAACCTCCAGGAAAGCAGAGATGGAAGAAAACAGCAGTGGCATAAACTTGTCAGCATAAACTGACAGCTGCAAGTACTCCTTCTCACACAAGAGGACAAATCAGGACCCCATTCCCAGCAGGAATACAAACAGGAGCATCACAGGAGCATCCCAAGCCTRTGGACTGCCCTTGATCCCCCTGGTTTGCCATCTGCCCAGGGCAGGGCAAGTCACAAGGGACAGCCTGTGAGATGAGTCAGGAGTCAGAGCAGAGCAGGGCATGCCCCCAGTGCCCTGGCATACAGTTCCTTTCTAGGAACTGCCCAGCAGAATMCTCCAGAAAACCTGCCAGCAAACACAGTGGGCTCTGGGGCAACGAGCCAGATGGGGAAGGGACTGATGCAGCTTTGCAAAGAGCCCATCATGGAAGCACGTGATGTGATGCCTGTTTTGTGGAAGAAAAGCTGGAGACCAGGCATCCTTCCATAGGAACTTGCTGGAAATCAAGCATGCCTTTGTTTCATTGCCATGATTCGTGGAAAGTTCACTTTGCCTTTAACACAAGAGGAGGGGCTTGCCTAACACTAGCTGCCGAGAGCAGCGGCCCGACATTGCATCCTGCGGCCCTACAAGGGCTGGTTGTCCAAATGCACCAGCATTGCTGCCCGTCCCCATGTCCCTGGTGCAGAGCCAGGGGGTGGCAAACACAGAAATGGGATTGGGGGATGCCTGCGGGGATGGGCAGTGCTGTGTCCGAGCCGCTCCTCTCGGGGTCAGCAGTGACCAAACCCAGCACATCTCTCCYTGCTTCCCTCTGCCCTTGCACCGTGCTTGCTCGCCTGCCCCCTGCCACACAAAAGGGCTGGAATGAAAGCAGGTATTTGTGTGGGAGGCCAGGCAGCAGCACCAAACACTTGCCCGCTGGGTTTTTTTTTTATGTAGGCAGAGAGAGCGCATGGGAAATGGAACCAATGAGCGTCTCTGTTGTGGTGTTATCTCTTCCTGCTATCTCAAAACTGCATTTCGGATGCATCTGAGGCAGCCACTGTCGAACAACAGAACCAAACCAAAGGCAGGCAAGGCTCTGACACTTGACTGAGGTCAATGTGGTGACAGCCAGCTGGGCAGGGTCAAACACCACCTTGGCATGGCCTGACAGCACCACGGGCCCTGAGCCTGGGGCCCACCGTGTGCCCGGTGACACTCAAAAAATGCAGGCTGTGCACTTTCCGTGGCAGAAAGCAGCAAAGAGGTTCCTTCCAGAGCCAGGAATCATTCCTGATGGTGCTGGCAAAGGCAGCTAACAGCAAAGCAACCCAAAGAAGGGCTTCTCAGGACGTGAAGAACCATGCTCTGAAGCCACAAGGACACCATGGAAGTCCCCTCTCCTCCCTTAGGCTGACGTGTGCATAGGTAGAGTCCCGAGGTGTTGTTCAAAGAAGAAAGATAAACCAGCCAGAGTGGGTGTTTTGTAGGAAAGCCAGAATAGACAGCGATGGTGGGAAGCATCACACAAGTGAAAGCAAGGCAGCTGAGCCTCAGGTGGAGAAAGGAGAGGGAAGCAGAGATGCAGCAAGGCAGGGGGACCTGCCCAAGACCCAGCTCAGGGCCTGAGTGAATTGTGCTGCAGTGGGGAGCTCTGCACGGAAAGAGAAGCCTCACACCAGGACTGTGAGGGTGACAGAGTTATCTGAGTCCAATCCTTCTCCCTGGTCACCCAGCTCATCTTCTCCAGCAGCCATTCCTGTGCCTGTCCGTCCCTCTCCTCCTGCCCTGCTGTCCTGGGTGCTACATTCACAGAGCCTGGCTCATTCACTGGCCCCGCTCAGCTGATCCCTGCTCTCCTCCTCTGCCCCTAAATCCCAGCTTGGAAACCCTGGCAGATGCTTTACTGCCCATCATGGTATGAGGTAGCTCCTCATGTGCCTGCTCTTTCCTGCCCACAGCTCCCTTCCACGCCTTCCTGGCTCCACTAGAAGGTCCAGGGAWGCAGCAGTCATGTCCTGCTTTGGGAAAGCTCCTTCACCTGTGTCCCTGCTGTTCTTGGGGAGAAAGCAGCTCCCCCTCACAAAGGAAGAGCAGTTCTGGTGAKCAGCTGCAGCAGAGCAGAGGGGAATTTCATATCTGTCTCTCAGAATGGGGAGGGAGCTGATGGACAGCATGGTCCCTTCTGAGGTTTCTCTCCACATCAGYACCTGAATCTGTTGCAGAATAAGGACAAAAGCAGTGTCTTTTCCCCATTGCATCATTTTGGCAAACGTCTCAAGAAACTATTACTAGCTGTGGTTTCCTTACTTGACCTTTTACAGGCTCATAAAAAAACATAAATAAAGCGTCCCCAGCACTGCCTGTGCCAGAAGCCTGAGAACCTCCCTCAGGATGGGCTAAAACCAGGAGAGCTACAAGCAGGTTCTGGCTACTGGAAAGGCCAAGCTTGGGTAGYAAGGGCTACTGTTTTCCTGTGGATTAATGCTGGGATAAGAGATTTCTATCTTCTATAGAACCATCCACTGCTGTTTTGGGTGCCTGCTCAGTCTGCCCATCTGATGAGTGCTGCAGGACCCAGCACTGCACAGACCTGCTTGAATCATGGGGCTGCACCTCCCTCCCGTTCCTTCAGCACTGGATCTGGAGCACAGCACCAGGCAAAACTCATCCTTGCTCATACCCAGGCAGCAGAAACTGCAGCTCTCCAGACAGGGGGGACGAGACACCACATGGACAAGGATAAGCCCAGCACACCATCATCTCATTCCCCTTAAGAAGAATAGGAAAAAACACCTCATCTCATGACTCACTGGTAGGCGCATCTACAAAAGAAGAACCAAGAAGAGTTACAGCAAGAACCACCACAGCCAAGCACATCCTGTTGTTTCCTAGGTCCCAGTGTCAGCTCATTTTCCAGAACTGAAACATCCACTACAGCATAAAAGTCTGAGATTTGAATGCTCCATGACACACATTCAGAAAAGTGAGATTCTGCTTGGTGCCAACTTGCTAAGTCAGCATTTTTTCTGAATGCATATCATGGAGCATTGATGATCATCGTCATTTTTGTGATGCCTCGTGTTTGTTCCTGACATGCTGCAATGGACAATACTTGTCCCTGAGACATCACAAAAACAATGGTGGCTATCAAAGAAAAAGGAGTCAATCATAAATGAGCTTTCCATTGTATTGGCAACACTCTCTGCTTTAGCATTTTCTTGCCTGCCTRCCAAGGACTGTGTTTTGGTGTAAATCCACACAATCGAGATAAATCTTCTTTCTCAGGCCCCAGTAACCCTCCCTCTCTTCCAGGAAGGACYCCCACACCTGTAACCACAGAGCAGCACTGGTAGAGCTCTGGCAGCACAGRACAGGCACAGCAGCTGTGCTCACCCACACCCACCTGAGCCCAACAGCTCCTGGCACTCCAGCACCTCTCAAGGGTGCTGTGACACCTCCTCCATCCCTTCTTCTGTAGCTCAGGGACCACAATGTTTGTGCTGCTTCCTTTGTGTCAAAGCACAGCTGTGAAGTAAGCTCCCTTGCACCCAGGCTCCTCTTTATTCATTCAGTATAGGGATATAGCATRTGGTATGGTACAAAATAAAGCATGAAACATTTACGAAATGCAACTTTAAACAGCAAAAGCCCGAAAATTAGCTGCAGAAAGCTCAGGTGAGAGCAAGGGGCATTCCCAGGGCTGGGCCTGGAGTTCAAGTGAAATGACTGAGCTCTGGAGGAGGCAGAGACTTCCTTTTCCTGGCAAGTCAGCTCCTCGCCCTTATAGCAGAAGATAAAAATAGTCAGATTTCTGAGGAGGAACAAAGGATGGCTGTTTTATTTGCCCTGGCTTGTGTAGGACAGGCAAGCCTGACAGAGGTGTTAGGGGTTCTTCTTCCTGACACATCAGCGAGCTGGCTGGATGTCTCATGCTCCAAGGCTTTTGCAGCTCTCTCTGCCTTCACCTGTGCTGCCTTTTGTCCCAAACGGGCCAGTGCTCATCCAGCCACTGCTCCAAACCAGGCCTGTTSTCTTGGCTCCTCAGCTGTCCTGCAGAGGCACAATGGACATCCCCAAGTCCAAAAGGAGCAAGCAGTGTCCAGCTCATGGAAGGTGATGCAGGTGCAGATATTGCAGTCCAACTTCTCCCTTGGGGAGGAAGACCTCTCAGCAGCTCTCTACCTTCAGCTGGTTACACCTGAAGTGTTACCAGCAAAATCAAGAGATGAGGTCCCTCAGCCTCAGCAGGAGACTCTGAGATGGAAAGCCATGACAATTCAGACAGTGCCACCAGTAATCCGACTGGTTGGCACTTTATGATGCTTGTTTCACAAGCCAAAGGATACCAGACCTCTTCTATGACAAATAAAAAATTGTCTAGATAGCCAAACAAGCTTATGCTGAGAATAAAGATTTGTTTTATTTGCCAGAAAGTTACAGAAAACTGAGCTGAAATCGTACTGAAGAGGCAGGTTTGTCCTTGGTAGAACAAAGAAGGCTTTGCAGAACATTGTCTCATCTGCCCTTTGAAACCCCAGTGCTGGAGTTGCTGAGTTGCTCTCCCAGAAATCCATCTCAGTGTTTCATTTATTTAAAAAAAAAAAAAAAAGTATGAATATACTGACCTAACTCTCCCTTGCTGCAGTTTAAGCCCACAGTTTCTTTTCCAAACACAGTGAAGAAAGGGAAAAGCTTATTCCTTTCCCACTTGGATTTTTCCCACACRGATGCTTCAAGGCTCTCCCATGTCTTTTCAGTGCATTCTTCTCTGCATTATGACACAAATTCTTTCAACTTCAGACAAATATTTAATTACATACAACTATTTTTTTGGTCCATAATGTATTTGATGCTGAAGCCAGAGAGCTGTCCTAATGTGTAGCAGGAGACAAAACCCTGTAAGGTCCRTAGGTCCATTTTGTCTCAGTAGAGCTTTAGCATCTTCTGGGTGTAACCCATCCAAAACGCACAAAGACAACAAGGTGCAGTAAAAACAAGTGAAGTACAGAAAGACACGGGTTTCAAGGCTCAGTGCTCCATATCCATATCCTAACACGAAGACACTCGAAGAAAAATGGCCACAGGGGTGAATGCTCATCACCTTGAATCTCCTCCACTGGGTCTCTTCATCTCCATTTGATGCTCTCTCCAATTTTCTGCAATGAAAGCCGCCGTTTCATAGCTGAGCATTACGCAAGGCTGGGCAGGAGGGGCTCCTGGCTGTCAGGAACTCTCTTTTCCCGGTGAATGGTGGAGCAGAGAGAGCAAGCCCCCTCCTCCCGGGATGCCTGTTCACGGCCTTTCTCTGGGGAGGTTGGGAGTCCGCGGCTGCGTGCGGGGCCGGGGCCGGGGCCGGGGGGGCTGCGGCTCCTGGGGCTGCGGCAGCGGCCGCTGCTGCACTCGCAGCTGCTTCGGGGTGGGGTGGGACGGAAGCGRGGGCAGCTCCCGCATCTCCTTGTCCCGGTCCTGGAGAATCTGCATCACTCGCTGCTCCTCTGCAACAACACAAGGACCCCACCGTCAGGCACGTGCAAAGAACGAGTCAAGCAGGCGGGGAAATGTCCTCGGCCCRAGCAAGAAAATGCCAAATTGTGGCTTTTACCTGCCACTCTCAGGTGTTCCTGCTGTCCCAGTGAACAAAAAAAATAACCTCTGCCTGCACATCCGAGGCAAGTAGGAAAGCTTTTGGCTGCTTGGCTGAGATCAAGGTACCAGGAGCATTTGGGCAGCTCTGCCCGTTCTGTTGGGGGAACCATTCTGTCAGGGATGCCCCAGCAGACATCAATGGACACCCCCAGCCTGAGCTGCTCTGTYCTCTTTCAAAGGCTACTGAAGGGAAAAAGAGAGATCTAACCCCAGGAAGCAGCATCAAAGCATTCTGCCCTGCCATTATCTGTGCTGGGATTTTCAGAGACGTGGAAGCCAGAGATCCCTTTTGCCAACATTAATTTTTGCACCCAGAGAAGAAGCAAATTCATGCCAGCTGACTTCTGATCACTGACTCATCATTTCTGAAATATCACCCATCTTAATTTAGGGATTGAGGGATTTACCTSTTGGGACACTGAGTTGGCCTTAAGCACAGAGCAAGCTCTTTTGGAGAGTCCGGTCACTCTAAAATAATTGCTATAAAATTAGTTTTCTTTTTCCCAGACTCATTTCCTTAATTCTTGCTGAACCCAGACCCAATAACTGAGGATATGGTGTCAGTGCGCAGCTGAGGCAGTATAAGCTCTACCACTCAGATGAGAACAGCCATAATGTAAACTAATACTCAGTTGCCTGTGCTCACTACTGTACCAGTATTGTGCTCACTACGTGTGCAAAGGCAGGACTCAGAAAAAGCAGGAGGGAGGCTGCTCTGGCAGAGGTTGTTTAAAGGTTTGTTTCTTTCTCTTCCAGGCAGGCCAGATGACTTTTCTGAGCAGCAGCTCAATGTCCTCTGTCCACCCAAACCAGCAGCAATGCCCAGACCATGTGTAATTCCAGGCAGCCTCTCTGCCAAGTCTGAGAGCCCATTCTCAGAGAATACTATGGCAGGSTGTTTCCAGCGGTCTTAAAGAAGTGTGAATTTTGGACAACAGATGAAACCTCTGCACACTGAAAACCTCAATTCTTCAAATGTGCCCCAAGTTGGACCTCCAGTGTCACCAGCCCTCCAAGGACGTTGTTTTGTAGAGAGGACAAGTTCTATGAGATACTCGAGGAAATACATAAAAAAATGGAGCTATTCTTGCCCCTGCTCACTACACTGCTCCTAAATGATACTAATGATGTCAAGGATCCCAGTTTTGTACCAATTTAATGAAAACAAATCTGCTGGCAGGATATCTGAGTGTATTTTAGCCCCACAGATGCTCATGGCTGGTAGCTTTGGCCAAGCTTTAGAGGAGCAATTCTTCTCCCACAGATAAACCAAAGGCCTTGAGAGCAAGAAGTCCTTTGTTCAAAGCATTTATCAGAAGGTGAGACTGGCAATGCCAGCTGATCTGCACAGATTCACCACATGCTAAAACCAGGTTATTGCTCGTGCCAGGCAGAGAGCACACTCCTGACCACAGGGCTGCTGTCAATGGGAAGCTGCATCATTTTCGATGGCCGGATGGCAAAATAAAACCCCTTTAACACTTACCATAATCTTCATGCCTCTTTGCTTTCCTCCTTCTGATACAATAAATAAGGCAAATCACAAAGATGACAAAAAAGATTGCACCTCCTGCTATGCTTAAGATGACATTAAGGTCCAGCTTGCCTAGTTAAGAGGATGAAAGAGGATATTAGATGGAAAGAAATAACTTGCACAACATCTACTTAGAATTCTGTGTTTCGTTCCATTGACTGTAAAGGCAGACCAGCATTCACCCCACCCTTTGCCTTTTCCCTGTACACAGCAGAAAGTTGCTGCACCTCATTGCTGAGAATTTTGATTGCTCCCTGATGGCCTCAAGTGCTGCAGAAAATTGAAACYAGAGCACTCATGCGTGCCAGCTCACTGTGCTTAAATTACCACCTGTTTTAGTTKCCAGTTGTTACACCGAGGTGTATTTTGCCTTTTCTGTGCCCGTTTCTCCCGGATGAGTGTAGGAGGAGCCCAGGCAGATTCATATACAATTCCACTGACATGAAAAGTTAGCTGAGCTGAGGCCCATCTGAAATGTGCTTTGCCTGTGAAGGTCAAAATTCAAGGTGATTGGYGTCAAATGCAGGACCAAGTGTTCACATAGGGTAGTAGGGTTAGAAGGAGGAAGCTGCAAGAAATTCTGAACTTTGAACTGACCACCACACCCAGGGTCGTACCAGTATGATCTGTTGTTTGTTTGTGCCCTAACTTTCAAAACTTTTACGTGGGAGCGTGGGGGGATGACACATATGATGACTTTCTTTTCCTGCTGAATCATTTTCAGCATGACTCTGCCCATTTACAATGCAATTCCTTCAGTCCTTTTGCKGCATCTGTGGTTTAGAAAGATGAGGTTTCAGCTGAATAGGAGGGCCATGGTACATCTGAGCCATGCTTATCTGATCCACGTAACCTCAAAGCTAAATTCTCCATCACTTCTCTTCTGATTTCCAGGCCAGGCTGGAGAGTCCAAGCAGCTTATTTTCCCCTTGTGAAAGCACTCATCCACATCCATGGGTATCAGGCAATCATTGCATTCATGGATATGGTTATGGAGAGGGGAAAAACACAATGGATTTCCCTGCAGGAGAAGGGGAGGACCAAACCCCCCCTCACATCCCACTGCCCTCGGCTTGGTCGCCCTTCCCTTAGGATGGGGATGCCATAAGGGCAGCAGTGGGGCAGGCAGCAGCAGGATGGGGAGCAGGGAGATGTAACAAGGCGGGAGAATGCCAGGCAGAAAGCATGAGTTGCATCCTGGCTACCACAGCAGCATCAGATCCCAAAAACTGTGCTGGAATCAGACTGACAGTACTGAGAGTACCGAGAACTTGGGATCTCTGTGGTCCTGGCACCTGGACCAGTGCCTGCATCAGGTTGTGTGCTCCACCCTAGCACATTCTGACAAAAGAGATTTCTTACCTGAGCACTTAATTGCTTTTTCAGCCTTTTTTTCACTAACTTGGTTCTTAATGACACATCTGAATGTCCCAGAATTCCGCACATGCCATTCCAACTCTGTTCCATTCTTTTGGATTTTTTTGCCATTGGGTTGAGTTAGTTCTATTAGAAATGCTTCATCCTTAGGCTTCTGTTTCACTTCACACTTTGCAGATACACTTTTATTCCTACATTCAACATGGAGAACTGGCTGAGGGACAGGATCTGAAAAAGAAGGGAAGGCACATGTGACGTGATTTTTCCTTTTGAAAGCTTCCATTATGACGCAGAACAGAGAATTAACCCAAAATCACCAGCTAATGAGACCACAGAAACATGAAGAACAAATTAGACTTCTGCAACAGAGGTAACAAGGCAATAATAAAGAAAATGCAGTGACCTATGTATTCAGCCCAGTAAAGCAGAGCTGGACACCAGGCAGGTGAGGGGAGGAAGCTGGATTTACAGATGGATGGGGGGGACTCAGAGCTACAGCTCACTCCAACTCTGGCCCCTGTGTGCTGGTGCAGATTAACTTGGCCCTGCTCTGCCTGTGCCCATCAGGAGAGATTTTCTCTAAAGCAGGAAAAACTGCTAAAAGCTACTTATGATGCTCTGTGTGCTACCAACAGCACTCAGCTGGCACGACAGCACAGCATGGAAGCCCATCAACCCAGAATGGGAAACACAAAACAGATACTTCAGCTCTCAGTGAGGTTATGACAGACAAAACTGATTCCTGTCTCTTCTTATGCCCTGCAAACAGCTCCCATTTAGTTTCAGTTTCTCTATCGCTGGTGGTACTGAAAAAGCTAGAAGAGCCTGCAGGGTTTTCCTCAAGTGGGGGAAACTGGCTGGGACAGCAAATGGAAAAAAAAAACCAAACATTTCTACCTTTAAGACCAGATAAATAAAAACCTGCCAATGCCACCTCTAATTACAGGCAGTGTAAGTTACAAAGACCAAAAATTCTAAAATGAGTTAGGGCTGCTCGTAGCAGATGCAGTCAAGGTTCACATTGTGCCATCTGCAACCACTCTTTCCTTGTGAAGCCCACTCCCCTTCTGCAAACTGGGAACATCCCAGTGGGAAACATTAGATCCAGGTGCTGGTGATGGAGTTGTGTGAGGGTCTCATTGAGACTTCTTTTTAACAACTGTTTGTCCAGCAAGGGGTAACCTGGCTGACAAAACTACTCAAATGCCTGACAATTACTACAGAGCCTCCAAAACCATGTCAGAGGAAATGCCACCTCTCTGCTGCACAGAAATGACGTTCAGCAGAAGAAATGATGCAGCACACAGCTGGGTTGGAGCATTAAACCTTGACCCGAAACAAGGACACCCCAATGACAGTTCAGTGGCTTAAAACATGAATAAGACGCATCAGACCTTGATGACTTCCTGAATCTGTTTGCAGTCCCCAAATAGTTCCCAAAGCATTGAGACACCCTCACTGTTGAGCAGCCTGTTAGACACAGGGCCTCCCACTGCACAGAAACCCTGCTAAAACCATTCCAGCTGTCATTGCTGCCTCAATAAGGCATAATTTCTGTAATCCCAGCCAGTGGCTACAAACTCAAGAGGCTGGCAAAGGTGTGCATGCTGACTGGAGAGGGACAGAGCAAAACTCTCCTCTTATTGGGGAAAAAAAGCCCCATGCTGTTCTACAGCTTAGGGGTCTGGAAAACTCGCAGCAGCCATAAAGGAGCAGAACAGCCATCCCCATCATCACTACTCACCCCAAAAACTTTGGGCTGCTGCTGCTCTGATCTCTTTGGACAAGATGCAGCACAGGAATGGAGGCTGCCTTCATGCCTTGAACACATGCAGTTGAAATCCCCAGGTGTGCCTTGAACAGCACAATCTCCATATATGTTGTGTTTTCTTATGTAAAGACAGGGTGCAGGAGTCTTCTTCCACCACAAATTCAACTCCTGTTGTGGTTTATCTCCAGGAACATGACTGCTGGTTGTTTTGTATGTTAGAGCAAGAATGGAGAGAGATTCCATTGCCTAAAGACAGGCATTTAGTGCCATGGGGACTCCTGAGTTCTCCTCGTGGGGTTGGCTGCACACATTGCTCACCTTGACCAGTAGCCAGAGAGCCAATAAAACAGTACCAGAAGTACCTGAAGCCCACAGTGYATCAGACACAGCTGTACCTCACAGAGCCTGCTGTCCTACCAGAGGTTTCTGGAAGCAGGATGATGCTGGGAGCCCAACCCCCTTCTCGAGGTCCCACCCCAGCTCAGAGCCTCAGCACTGTTTGTGGTGCTGCAGTAGGGCTGACCACCCTCACCCTGCTGTTGGTGTGAATGTGCTCACAAATGCTTACTTGGGCACAGGCAGAAGCCTAGGTGCTGACAAACTGGGTTCCAGAAAGAAGCCAGGGATCTGAGGCCATCAATGGGAGCAAGAGAAAAGAGGGAAACTGCAGTCAGTGGCAGGAGGAAAAGGCTATGTCCTACAGAAKTCCTCCCACTCCAAATCAGAAAGGAGCGCATTGAGCAGGAAAAGGCTGTAGGAGAAGACAGAGAATACCAAGTCTTGTTCAGCTTGCTGGAAATGGTATGGGAAAAGCAAAACTCACCCTGGACAAAGAGCATTATGTTTTCTTCTGCCATCAGTTTTCCATCCTGCTGATGAACCATCACCGTGTAGTTTCCACTGTCCTGTTTCACCAGGCGCTGGATTTGCAGAGTCCCATTTCTCTGCATCGTACACCTGCACTGCGCCTTGTTCACRAAGTGTCTAGCTGTTTGATTTTTGAGCTGAATCAACCTTTGCTCATCTTTCTTCCATGTTACTTGATAGATGCTCCCAGGAGCAGTGATGCTGAGAAGCGCCGTCTCATTCACTGCCTTGTACATCCAGCTGGTTCTGGAGCCTGTGGAAGGAAGCAGAGCCAGCCCATCAGCTGTGTCCAGCAGCCCCTGCTGCCGTGCTCAGCAGGCACCCTAAAGACTGTCACTTGCAGTGCCCCCTCTCTGAACTATCTAAGCTTCCCTGAATTTCTGATGCCATCTTCTTCCCCTGCTCCAAAGCACTTCTTGATCGTGCATTAGATAAATTCCAGCATCCAATTTAATTCTAAGAGGTAAGAAAACTAAGAGGCTGGCTTTGAAAAGTTGAATTTATACTCTGGCTGACTTACTTGGAGTGACTCGGATCCCAAGATTCATGGCTGYCCATGCACTTAACCCTGAATTTAACCCTTCCTGGAAATAAAATTGCTTTGGTGTGTTTTGCACATGGCTCGGGCCATGCCAGAATGCCCATCACTGCAGAGAGCACAAATAGTCATATTCCTGGACAGCAGAATCATTTCAGCAACAACAGTGATAGCAATAATGACAATAATAGTAATTATAATAATGATAATAGTAATAGTAGCCCATGTCGAGCAGTGAGTGAGTGTAAGGCACTGAACTGGAGGTAGACCCACTGTAGTGCCCCCTCCTCTCYCACCCCAGGTACCCCACCCCACTGGAATGTATCCACTGGGTTTTTCCAGCACAGGATCCTGATGGGGCAAGTAAGGCAGGGAGAAACTTCTACCAGCATCCTGTAAAGTGGGGGGTGCAGGAAACATTACAAGATAAGCAATTGCAGAAAAAAAAAAAAAAAAATCTTTTCTCTTCACAAGTCTCCTTTGATGCCAGGTCCCTTCTCCAAAGCAGGAATTTCCCAAAGGTGGTGTCAGGACTGGGCAGCACCTGGGCTTGGAGCTGCCAAAGGGGATGCTCAGGAAAGCCAAGGTACCAAACATGCATCACGTTTGCGCTCCTGGAACCATGCCCTGGTGCTCCGCCCATTCCCTCCAGGCTGCCTCAGCCACTGCCTTTGCAGGGCCCATTTCTGGTGAGCTGGGACCTGGGAAACTTTGCTGGGAGGTCATTTCAAGYGAGGCGCTGTCCCCACCCCCGTGGCAGGTGGACAGCCTGCAGGAGGAGGTTGAAATCTGCATGCAGGTGTCAGGTGGGATAAACTCACTGATAACTGAACCCACACTCAGAGTCACGGCTTACTTAAYTTATCATTTGCTTGTGTTCATTCCTCCTCAATTTACAGGGTGAAGCACATCAGCAGGAGGAGATTTCCCTTCCCATCACCACACAGAGCTGATTCTGCTCTGATTTTACACATTTTGAGCACTTTTTCCCCATAGAGARAAAAACCTTGTTTATGCATATTTTTATTACAGCCCTTCATTCCTCATCTCTAGGATAATGATAAATGGCACCACAGAGGGGAAACTGAAATCCAGTGGCTATTTCATTAAACTAACAATATTAGAGATAATCAGAGAACTAGAATTTCATGCCTCTGCAACAAGAACATTAATGTTGTAGTCAGAATGGCTTCTGGCAATTCACCACCTCTAAAGTGAGGCTGTTCCTTCAGCATTGCCTTTCTCACAAGGTATTTGACATATTTAATGAAATATCCTAAAATCAAGCTCTCAGCTAAACAGCCTTGGAAGCAGCTCTGCCCCACACAGATGACAYTACAGATTATACTCAAATACTGGAATTCTGATGCTTGTTTCTGCTCAGTCATGAGCAAGTATTTAGAGCTAGTAATAGGATTTCTTTGTGTAACAAATGCTACTTAAGTTTTCTCTGAAAATAAAGAAAAAAAGTCTGAGATTTCAAGGATAATTCAATGGCATCTCTATGGACCACCTAGACACATCTCTAGATGTTGATCTGATCTCCACAGACTTTCTAGTRGAAAGAAGAGTATCCCACAGATATGATACTAACAATCTGTTTAGCTAATGAAACAACATTTCTGCTAAAAATGCCAACTAAAACATGCTCCAAGGGTCAGAAAGATCTTAACTGAGAGCCTAGAGCTCACTCACAATTACAAGAAAGAGTTAAATGGAAAACAGTCCCATAGTAATTTTAAAGAAGGAAGGAAGTCTCTAAAACAARTTTCCCATTTCGGGGAATAATCCTTATTTCTGCTGGAGAAGATGTTTTATAGATCATGTATATTAAAAAAAAAAAATCCTTATTTATCTATTAATTTTGTTCTGAAGGAAAAGCAAAGCATTAAATGGCCGTACATATAATCTTAGTGAAATGAAACAGAGGGAAAAAAATTTATGCAGGCTTGCATTGTCTCCATCTCTTAAAACCTTCTCTAATCCATGAGTTAACACCTTAATTAAGTTTTTAGATTAATATTTTAAAAATTATATGCAAAATGGAAAAGATGCATGTATTTGCTTGCTGTTTTCACATCTTAGACTTCAGCTCCACTGAAGACACWGAAATATATCACTCTGTTAATATTTATGGAAGAATATAAATTGCACTTTCAAAAGATTTGCACATCTTTGATAAGAAAAGGAAATTACATGCGATAATGCACAGTGAACTGGATCTCTAATGTAGTACAAGCTACCTCGAGGGCAGAAAGCAAACTGCRTGCTGACATTTCTCATTATACATGTGTCAAATTAAGGCTCATTAACTTAAAACCAAAACTCTTTACAGCTTATTATTATAACTGGAATAGGAAACTCAGGTCCTGCCCTCCCCCCGGCTGAAAATTATATCAAATAATAATAGCAATAACCCAGATGTCTTCACTCATTGGAAAAGTGGAACAAGTTTCTTATCAGTAACAGCCCACCAAGTTGTAAATGCTTTAAAATGCAGYTTTAACATTATCCCAAAAGAGCAAAAAAGGGTATGAAAAACTCACATTTTACACTGGGAAATAAAAGCAGCAAGCACTTGACTAGGAAAATCCTCCTAAAGTTCATTTTCAGAGTCAAAAAAATCCAGTGTTTCCTTGTCTAATGACAGCTGCTGGCAGGTCAAAGGATTTTCTGCTGTGAGGAAGCAATGATGGGACGCATCGGCACAGCCCCTGTGGCCTCCTCCCCTCCTCCAGCTCTCACTCGAGCACTTCTCATTTCTACACAGGCAGAAACACGGCTTCCCAGGGCATTTTGTCAGCATGGAGACAGCTTGGAGCCACAAAGCAAATGGGCACTAAAATGCAGGAATGCCCTGGAGCTTTGTCCATCCAGCTGGAGGGCTGGTGGGCCCTTGTCCACCTCAGTGCTCCCCCAAAGAGCTCAGCTCCAGCACCCACATGCCACCATCCCAGCAGCAGGTTTTGGGGGGCAACTGATGGGAATCCTTCTTGTCCCCCCAAAGTCTCAGCAGCAGTGAGGGGACAGCAAGCCCAGGACCCCAGTGRGGAGAAGGAGGCTGTGGGACAATGCTTAGAAAGGAGACACTTCCCTTGGAAAACCTTCAGGATCAGCTTTGCATCCGCATCTGGTGTGTGAGGGGCTGGCCAGCACCACAAAAGCATCCTGCAGGGCAGGGCCAGCACACTGTGAGAGGAATGAGCGTGGAAGGGGTGAGAACACTGCCTTGGATCTCACCACAAACCAACCCTGGAGCTGGATGGGGAGGGGAAAATGGAGGCATGGGAGCCAGGTCCAAAAACACGTGAGAAGTTAATAAAGTCTTTATTCCTGATTCCGATACCAAACAGATGGAGTGGCGAGGATTTTGAGTCTTATTCTCACCAGCATAATTCCTCTGCTATGGTAGCCACTAAAATCTTCAGCTTTTTATCACAGATGTAGGCCAAGAAAGAAGACAAAAGAAAATCTGGCATTAGAAATTCACAATATTAGATAAATCTTTCTTGTTCATTCATGTAATTTCTCTTCCTTGAACTTAAAGGAAGGTCTTGTAAGACACCTCCCCTTCGCCATCTTAATCATTTTTAAACCAGTACTAATGAGGTAAAAACCACTTCTTGCAGGAAAACCTAGCTTTYCTTCCTTTTTTTGCTATTGTTTCCTTACAAAGGACACACAAAGGAGGCACACACAAAGGAGACAGGAAGCAACAGCAGCAAAACCACACTTCTGTGCCTGACCTCCACCCTCTGTGACAAAAAACAAGCTGAGGGCAGGGGCTGCCATGCCCAGCCATCTCCTCAGCCACACAAGCTGTGTCAAACTCTTGGACACATCTGCTTATAGCCCATTCACCTCAAGGAATTTGGGCAAAGGGAGCAATCCCARTTTCTTCTCTGTTTCCTGGAGGCTTTTTACTAGGTCCATCAAGCAGAGCAGAGRGAGGCCCAGCAAGCTGAAACCACTGCCCACACTCTGCTCAACTCTATCTCCCTTCTTCTTCATGGCAACATTCCCCAAAGCCACCTCCTGCTTCCAGGGTACCCCAGGCAGTGTCTGTCAGCACACTCACACTGCCAGCCTGCTGGGGTGGGGACTGTCCTGCTCTGAGCTCACACTGATGCCTGATGATTTTTGYCTTTCCATTTTATGTATTTTTATGCCTTTCCCTTTTTATTTATTTTTATACCCTTTAAAACATTTTCTGTACCCTTTATATATCCCTTGTACCCTTATCCTTGTAATTACATGCTTGTAATTCTTGTAGCCTAATATTCTAACTTAGTTTAAAAGTTCTACTAAACAAAAAAACCAAACATCCTCAGTAAAGTCAGTGTACCSSATACTRTCTTAAACCTGAAAGTTAAAGCCTTCTGTCTAAAACATATTATATAAACGAAATGCTAACATCATCCCAGATAAAAATTCCATGAAATAAAAAAATCATTACTTCATTTATTAAATCTCTTATTAAAATGTTCTAAATAAATACACTAATTTATAAAAATCTATAAAGCTTATATACATACTATACACAATGTACATTTTCTGTCAAATTATGCACCTGGAATCCCATTAATACCAAAATAAAACCCTTTTATCTCCTTAACTGTGTCTGTGTCATAATTAAAACTGACCACAAGGCAACAACACAGAGCCTGCTCGGTGCCATCCTRCTCATGGGACACTGCCTGGCAGAAACTGGGATCAGATGAAATGCAGATGGAAAGATGTGTACATGTGTGTGTGAAGGTGAGACAGAGAAGACAAGACATGGTGTAAAGGATTCCCTGGATTCATAATGAAGGCCACGACTTCCAGTTAATCAGTTTGGCACGCCCATGTGCCACACACACTCTTCCAAAACCAGGGCTGAAATGAGTCAGGCTAAAGCCCTGTGCTCCAGCACACCAGCACACCAAACATCCTTGATTCTGTTAGAGGAATGCGTARGCAGGAGCAAGACACCACTCCCAAAGGATATAAAAAGCTGTTCAAAAATGAGCTGACTGTGAGCCGTGAATAAGCATTTGAGGGAAGCAAGGGCTCAACAGCTGATGTCCTGTGCTCACTGCACATCACAGAAGTGACACCAGGCCTTGTTGCATGTGCACAAAATCTTCTTGCTTAGAGATTTTGTGTAACAAAGGCCAAAAGCACAGCCAGACCTGCAAAGGAGCACATTGCTCATCTGTAGCAAGGAKTCCCCGTGAGATCCTGGCACATGCATGGTCTGTCCCAAAAGCAGCTCCTTTTCTACCCATCAGAAACCTCCTGCACCATCAGACCCAGCTGGACAAAGATAAAGCAGCCCATATCACCAGCCTCAATCTTCCTGACAGATGAGACATGGGGAAATGTCAAAATTCTGCCAGCTTTACCTTTCCTCTCTTGAGGAGCAAGTCTACGTCATTCTTCAGTCCTGATTGGGCTTTGATCACCATTTTAGAAGAAGGGAGGGATTTTTTGGATGTTRTTTGGAAGTGCATCAGTTGCTGCACTGATGTCTCTGTTTTCCCTTCAAGGAGAGCCCCRGGGGAAGGCATTAAGGGGAAGGTAACTCTGAAAATCCCTGGAAACCACAGCAGCTCTGGGCTGCTGCCACAGAGGAGCTCTGGAAGCCACCGTGTTCCTTCAGAGATGTGGCATGGGATGGATGCACTTCCTGAAAACAGCACAGCAGAGAGCCTGAAGTGCTCTCCAAGGCAGGGGGACAGGCTCAGAGGGAGCTGTGGCTGGAGCTGGGTGTGGCCACAGCCCCAACACCGGCCCAAGCCGTGCTGGGTAGGACAAGAGGAGCTCTGCCAGGCTGTGGGTAACGGTGCTTTCACACACTTCTGCTGGCTGCAGACACCCTCCCTCCTCACACAGGAAATAACATCACCAGGCAGAACAAARCCAGCTAGAAAACCAGAGCACTGAGAGAAAAGCAGATGTGTCCCAGCKCAGTGGGCTGGGCCTGCCCTCAGTTAAGCCTGTCCTAAGAGCGCCTGAGCCCCGCTTAGCCCATTGCTCTGCTTCACATCCCCCATCCTCTAGCACGCAGGAGAGCAGGGCACTGGGCATTACCATGACAATAGGCTGTGTCTGCACATCTGTGCTCTCTGTGCCACCGTTTCCACTGCAGAGGCCACAAAGCGCTGCACTCACACTCGGTTGCTTTTGTGGCTTGGCCTTACCTTTCCACTGTTGCTCTTTGTCAGACACCACACGGTTCTCTCCATCACAGGGAGTGTAATTATCGCACTCACATCTCCTTGGAAAGGTGACAGAGCCCCCCACATCTGAAGGCAATGTCTCAAGAGACAACATGCAGCTGTTCCCAGCTCTAAGTTCTCAACTTAGTGATGAGCCAATAAACATTCATGCCTGAGGCTTACTTAAAAAAAATTATTTTCAGTTGATCTGTTAGAAAAAGAAGAATACAAATACACTTAGTGTGTTCTTCGTTTAAAAGCAGACTTGTAGCCCATCTGATAGTTTGTACCCCTGGTATGAAACTGAGGTCRCAATAAGTGGTATTTGCATGTGAGTCACATCCTGCACTAAGCACCACCCAAGAGCTTCACACCTCCAAACTGCTCACAAAGACWGGCCTTCGATGGGGCAGTGTGAGGAGAAGAGCAACTGTACCTTGGTTGGAATGCCAGACGGGTGATACATAAAGGAGCAGTTTTGGGAAAGGGTAACTTTCCTCTTGGGAGTTCTCCTGGGTTTACCCCAATCTGCAGGACTGGGCTTTGTCTGGGCTGCCCTGGGTGGCAGCTGAGGGCTTCCTGATGGCACATTCCCCTTCCCTGTAGACAGGAGCAATTGTGGGCAGTGGCTGGAGCAGGGAAGAAGCAGAGTCAGCCCTGCAAGGGGAGTTACCCCTGCACTGTAAAYGCCAGGGAATTGCTGGCTCCCACATAGGGTTTCAGTCATTTGGCTGATGAAGGACACAAACTGCCTCCTCTTATGAAGGGCCAAGAAAGGTAAAACTCCAAGCTGAATAAAGTGGTGCAAACATTAACTCTAATCAGTGCTTTGGTCAAGGGTTTGGCAGGGATCTGACTCAGTGCCTCAGAGTTAACTGAGAGCACTTCATTGCCTGCACACAATGGAAATATTCCAGAAATAGTCATACACACACACACCCCACAATATTGAAAGAGTTGTCTGCACAAWTTTTTTATCCTTTTCTCAAAAAAGGTAACTGAAAGTTTTCAAACCGTGAGACATGCAGAATAGTTCTCAGCTGATTCTTTGAAGAGACATGATTCCCCTGTGATGTCCGTARCCCCATATGGAATCATAGAATATCCTGAGTTGGAAGGGAGCCACAAAAATCAAAAATTTCAGCTCCTGGCCCTGAACAGGACAGCCCCAAGAATTACACCATGTGCCTGAGAGCATTGTCCTAACACCTTCTGAGTTCAGACAAGCTTAGAGTGATGACTCTTCCCTCATGAACCCAGAAGCCCCAGGGTGAAGGGCCTTTTCTTGTAACCCAACCCAAGCCCCCACCCCAATACAGCCTCATGCCATTAAACCTTCCATCCCAGGTGTTCCCCCTCAGACTCATTTTCTTCTTTTCCACCTGTAAGCATGTGTMAACAGCCAAACCTCACAAAAAACACCATTTATTTCTTGTCTCAGGGCACACAACCCCCTCA